GGTGCGACCAAATTTGGAGGGCGGAACGGATTAACTGGATTTACATTGAACCCTATGGGGAAATTTGCGTCGGGATACGCCCAGAGTCACGGAACGCATTAAGTTCGTATCCCAAGGTACCACTGTATTTAGCAATTTTTAAAGGTTTGCATAAATCAAATGGGTGAGAAACGGGTGGAGAGGGGAGTGTCTTCTTTCAGGAAGCTTTTGAAGTGGGGCTCACAACAGAGCCCAAATCTGTGGTTCCCAGTTGTGTCACATGTCTTGCAATACTGACCCTGTTTCTCTTTTTTCCTCTGCAGAAATGGAATCAATTTGTAATTTGCAAAAACGAGGTAAGGAACATTGCTTTACTTACCTTACTCTCCTTAGGAGCAAGCACATTATTTATTGGGGGGTGGGAGGGTTGAGGCTTCTCTTGATGGTGTGCAGTGAATCTGGCTGAAAGCGAAGCGGGATTAGCCCCATGTAAGCTTTCCAGCTCAGCGTGGTTTTGAAATCGGAGCTCTTCAGGCCGCAGCATGACCGAGTTGCCCCTCCCAGGGAGCGTAGGGGAGTCTTGGTCATTTGGCAAATGCCTGCCATGGTGCAAGCTCTTCAGTTTTAGCTCCTTGGGGTTTTTCAGTACAGGTAGTCCTCAACTTACAACCGCAATAGGGGCCAGAGAATTCATCATTAAGTGGTGCGGTCATTAAGCAAGGCATCACTGACCGCACCTGATTTTACGACATTTTTTGCGGTAGTCATTAAGCGAATTGTGTGGTTCCCCGTTGACTTTGCTTGTCAGAGCCCCCTGGGAAGGTCACAAATGGCGATCACGTGACTCCGGGATGCTGCAACCATCATAAATACATGCCAGTTGCCAAGTGCCTGAATTTTGATCATGTGACCATGGGGGTGCTGCAATGGTCATAAGTGTGAGGACAGGTTGTAAGTCACTTTTTTCAGCGCCGTCATAACTTCAAATGGTTGCTAAACAAATGGTCGTAAGTCAAGGACTACCTGCAGAGAAATCCTTCATCTGGAGCTCCCTTGCCAAACAGGGTGGCCAGTATTCCTTTAAGAAACAGATCCATCCTGGCCTTAAAGTTAGGGTGAACTTTAGCCCAGCTCAACATTTTAGTCACTTGTTTCTTTTTAACATGTCGGCTGGGTCATTTTACCCCACAACAAACCTGCAGAGCATTTCAGCCAGATCGAGGCTGGGTGCGCGCAACATGCTGAGCCGTAAAGCTGTTCACAGAGCTGCTGTGCCTCAAGACATGCTGTGCTGACTCAAGAGATCACTGGCTGTGTTGGCTCATTTCACACCACTGCCGACACCCCGGCAGGGATCCCCCAACGGGCTGGACTCCCAGCCACCCCACCTTGGCCAAGCGGGCAGCTGGACTGCAGTTGGGTTTGAGGCATAGCTGATCTTTGCTTACGTCCGAAGCTGGGCTAGGGGCCAGATTGGGCCGAGGAGTGGGATGCCGGACGGCCAGTTCAGCTGGATCCTGTTCTTCCTTTTGCAGACCCCAAGCGGATAGTCACTTACGCCGAAGCCCTGGACACTCCCAGCACCTGAGAACAGCCGAAGGTCTCTCCCGGGCCCATGGTGAGCCCCCGTGTGCTGTCCCCGGAGGGGCTGCTCGGCAGCTCTGGCAATCTGAATCTGAATCGCAGGATCATATCTTCAAGCGTGTGTCCGTGGGTACACCTCTACACGCCTGCGTAACACAGTATATATACTGGGCATGATGAAACTTCATACCAAGTTGGCAGAGACTCCCATGCGATTATTTAAACTCCAGTTCCAAACGGTCGGTTCTTTCCCGACTCTCGTTTTTTTCCATTTTGTTTTCCTTTTCCTTTTTTTCCTCTTAAAAGAAACCAGATGTGGGTAGAGACTTAGCTTGTCCCGTGGCTCTGGGCGTCGCAAGCAGAAGCGTTTCAGGTTTTTGTCTTTGTGTTTTGGGGGCTTTGCAGTCATTGGTTACACACCAACCAGGAGGAAACTGGGAAGACTGCCCCTCTTCCGCCCCCCAGCTTTCTTCACCAGGGGGCAGGAGTTAATCTTGAATCATTGTGTCTCCCCACCCTAGCAAAAAGAAAAAAAGTCGAATTCAAACAGTTGCCAAAATACTGGGGTTACCCTTTGGGGTGGGGGTGCGGGCCGTGTTTCCACCCTCCAAAACCCTTGACCATTGTTGTTGGGGTGAGCAAGGTATTCTTCTTCTAATTAAGGTATCCAGGGTTGGGGTAGGAGTGTGTCTGTGTGTGTGTGAGAGCAAGAGGGAGCACGCGCGCACACCAAGATGGAAGCTCTTTCCATCACTTTACGCAGAATCTCCCAGGGTCAAGCAAAAAACTGGATCCATTCTGAGTTTTCCCTCCTTCAAGATGAGGCTGGCAATTCTTTAGCGTTGATTCTTCACTGCAGAGCTGAAGCATCTCTTTTTGCTAACGGTATGCATTGCATGTGTGAGTGCGTGGACTCCCCACTGCACGTGGCAACTTTTATGGAAGTTAATTTAACCAAGGAAAACAACGTCCAAGTGCATCCGACTTTGCTCTCGCTCTTCCCTCCCCCCCCGCCCCGAGCCCACTTTCTCACCCTGGTGGTAAGTCCAGACCCCGAGGGTCTCCTGGAGGATGGGCTGTGTGCTTTCATTTGAGCTCGTCTGTTTTTCTTATCAGTTATCTTTCCTCACAAAAGCAGTACGGAGAAGGTAGAGTGGTTTGCACTGAAAACGTTTTAAAGAATTCCTTTTGATTAAGTCTATGTTTGGCGGAGCAGGCAGGGTCAGGGATGGGCTTTGGCGCATCCACAGCTGCAGCCGGGTGTGGCATTTGGAGGAGGGGGTCTTCGATCTGACGCAGTCGCCCCCAGACAAGACCAGATGCCCTGCTAGGGGAAGGCAGGGCTTGTGCATTCTGAGTTGTGCTGCATGCTTTCACAGACAATCCCCAGAGCTGGCTGGGCACTACAAGAAATTGTTTTTTGGGGGGAGGGGAAATCATTTTGATCCCATGAAATTCTTTTCACGGGGTCTTGATCTCTCAAGGGGAGAAGTTCTGCCGCTGTTTTAGACTGTCTCTCTCGGTGCACATGATGCACGTCCTTCAGCATTTCCACCTTTAATGCTTCTATTAAAATGGCTCCTGAGATTCTTTTTCCTCCTCTTAGAAGTGATGCTTTTATTTTGCTATGATTTACTGGTTATCTCATTGCTTCTACCCCGTCCCCCCGTCCCCGCAAGAATCAGTTGGGTCGTTGATCCTCCTGTGGTTTTATTTGGGCATCATGGTGGACACAACTCTCTCCCCCCTCCCCCCCAAACACTTTATAGCTCTATTTTTCTGTGTCCCAAATTATGTGTTGTTATCCTGTAATATCTTCATGGAGGGAGTTGATCTGTTCCTTCTTAATTATGAACAAAATATTCTCCCCCACCCCTATAAACTCCCCTTGTTTTAAGCCTCCCTCTGTTTCGAAAGTTCTCACAAAATTCTCTGACAGCTAATTAAACAGAAACACTTCCTTAACCCTCCCTCTTTGTTTAATTTTGTGTTAATTGGGGGGGAGGGCAGTTCAGTGGAGCTGTGAATGACGTAGCACATGAAAATAATGTATAGAGGTATATATAAATATATATTTTCTTTTTGCTCAAGAGTATTAGTACTGTAGCATAAACCAAACCCAGGCAGAGTTGAGGACGTGTGAATGACGGGGGGGGGGGGTAGTCAGTCTCTCCATAGGGCGATCGTTGCCCACAGAATAGCTAGAAACTTGAGGCCAAGATTTAAAACCTGCTTCTGGTGCTCTAAGATGGGACTTCGGTCCATTCTTAACGGAAAACAATTGAGGATTTGTGCAATATTCTTTTTGTCCTGCAAAGGGTGCTGAGTGGTAAATGAGGTGCCTCCATGCCTGCAGTTTTTCCTGACATTCTTCCCATTCTCTGTGTCCCCTATTAGTCTTTTGGGAGAGGACAGCATACCTACTACAGGTAGTCCCAAGAACACCTGGTTTACAGACAACCCATAGTTAAGAATGGAGCCTATTGTAGCAAAATTCGAGTGAAATACACAATGGTTTGCATTAATTACACAATGGTTTGAGTTAATTACACAACACTACTTATACAGTATTATACAATAATACTGTTCAAGCTTACATACAAATTAAGGACAGACTTTGGGAATGGAACTCGTTCTTAAACTGGGGATTACCTGTATAGTCTTGTGTAAATGAGAATGATGTGTGAGAGGTGAAGCCAACACCTTGACCTACCTCCCCAACCGGGCACCCTCTGGCTAAATTAATCTTCAGTTTCCCAGAATCCCAGCAGCCATACCAGCTGGGGATTCTTGGAGCTGAACTCCAATGGAGAAGGAGGACCCTGCTGCAGAAGACCTCTCAGTTGCTCCTTTTCATGGGTGAGTCCACTCTGGGCAGAAACATTTGGGCAAAATATAGTTTCCATGAAGATGCTTTTCCCCGGCGACCTGCTGGGATGTGAACCCCAAGACCCCTCTCCCAGATAAAAGCACTTCTTGTTCCCAGCCCATCTTCTGGACCTGGTTTTTCACCTTTGATCTAGCCATTCTGAAAATTAAGCCAAAGCTTGGAGACCACTTTCCTGGAGGAGGGTGGCCTCTCTAAAATGGTACATTGGAGGCACGTCTGGTGAGAAGGAATGCCTCCTGAGGGCCCATGGCCGTGGTGCAGGAGAATCATCTCAAGCAGGTGGGGCAGGAAGGGGACATCTTTCCTCTCCTGGTGGCCCAGAGCGGCAGGCGAGCCTAGTGGGTGCTCTTGTCCAGAAGAGTGAGTATTGGCGCGTGTGTGTGTATGCAGGAGCTCGCTTACAAGTAGAGGTATCCTTGAACTGTTGTGACAATGCAGATCTCTCTCATTTGTGAAGAGGAAAGGACTGTACTGGTCTTTACTAGGGCAGTAGGTTATCCTTGGCCACCATTTTCTTAAATCTTCCTCTTTCCGTTCCCCGTTGAGAAGAAGGAGCTACCAGAGATGGGTCTCTTGGTGAGAAGGTGGCTGCCTCCTGGATCTTTGTTGGTTCCTGCTGATCGCTCTGTTGCAGATACGCCTGCTGGCCCCCCTCTTCCCACGCTCCTCTGCAGGCGAACCTTTTCAGGGTCCTTGTTCTTTCTCAGGTGCAAGAAAAGGTGTTTTCTTTCAGGGTGCTGCCCTTGGTGTCTGCTCTCTTGAGATCCAGGTTGTGTTTGATAGAGAAGACCAGCTGAAGGAGGCCAACTTGAATGGAAGAGTAACCAGGTTTAACAGCTTCCTGAGGATCCTGGTGAGCGGCTGGCTTTTGGCAAGGAAGCCCCATGTTGCTCCCAAGTGCCTCTTTAAGGCGTTCTGTCTGAACCTGTTGAGTATGTACATTCAGAAGCTGTGGCACTAGTTGAAACAGCACGTTATGTGCGAGAGCTGACATGCTACATACCCACAACACCTGTTGCATCCCCTGGCTAGGGCAGCAGAACCCAGAGTGAGGAACCAAAGCAGATTTTTGGGTAATACAAGCCTCTTGGAGGGTGCCATGTTGAGAAGGCACATAAGTGGATTGGGCCAGAAGCCCGCAAGGTTCTCCCGCGATGTTAAAGCGGTGGCCGTTTTCTTGCACTGTCCTGGCCCACGTGAAGTGGCTGTTGTCTTGGGAGGGAAAGCTGGGTGGGCATTAGAGCCAGTAGTCAAGTGGGCAGGCTCCCCCTGTCCAGGCAAAGCCCGTGGAGGCCAAGGAATCTTGGTTTAGCTTGGGCTGCGACCTGGGGTCTCCTCGCAGTAGGAAAATAGGTTTTAAAAATGGAGCGACTCTATAAAAACATTGGGTCTCTGTCTTCAGCATGTTTGATTCCTCTCCTCCCCTGTAAATGGTCCCAGACGGTCCACCTGCTCAAAGCTTTCCTGCATCTCTGCACTAAGGTGTTCCTGGCTTATGTGTCTTGTGCCTTTTTGTCGTAGGTGGGTGGTTTTTTGTTTTGAACGTTTAGGTTGCCCCCTGCAGTGTCCCGGCCCGTGTGCTGCACACTAAAGGCTTGGCCTCTTCTCATCCAGGGACGCCTGATTTGCAGCATCTGGGATTTGCTAGCACAGCGATTCACAGCGCAGCGGTCCAGGGAGCGTGAGTGTGCTCTCCGTGCTTGATTTGAGGGCGCAGTGCCGCCCAGTTCAACTTAATTGCGGGTGGGTGGATCTGAGCTCCTCCTGGAGACCTTGACTTAGAAGAACCCTAGAATGGAGCTTATCCTCGTCGGCCATGAATGGGCAACCCGGAGCCCTTCGGATGTATTGGACTGTCACTCCCTGACCTCTTGCCATTGGCTGGCACCAAGGCCACCCTGATGCGGCCCATTCATTCGGTGCTGCTGCCTGTTCTTTATAAGGGAGAGGAAAAGGCAGAAAAGCCGCCTTGCTTTTTTTAAAACGTGATCTAGGCAGCCTTGCTTACGGCCAGTGAAATTAAATGTGAATTCCCAACAATGCACTCTCTCCTTCATAGTCCACATGCATACTTCGTAGGAGCTCAAGTGTGCTAGCATCTCTTGACTCCTGGTGCTGGGTGCCAATGGGATGTTGAGAGCTTTGGGCGTCCTTTTTTAATGGATGTCGCACACTAGAGTTACACCGAAGCTCCTCTGGGTGAATGGGAAGGCATTTGATTCTTAAAAATATATTAAATAAAGCCAGAGCCATTGGGGGAGGGGGGGGAAACATCAATGTGTGAATCATTGATTGAACCGTCCTCTCTGTGGTCCGGTGCCCTTTTATTAAAAGTGCAACCCTTTACTTTGAGGGCAGACTCTAGGAAGTGCATTTCTCAGTCAAAGCTTGTGTGTGTACATGTGTGTGGCGTGTTAAGTCAAACCAAAAATCGAGGGCACCTTTTCTCTCCCAAGAACGGTTGCTGATGCTTTTTGTCTCTCCCAGGTGTGTTTCTGAGTGTGGCGGTCAGGCCAGGCCAGGCCAGGGCTTGGTTTCAGCCAGTTTTGCACACAGCATGGCTCCCTCAAAGGCGTGGGGCCAGCTCACCTTTTTTCTGCGCCTCTTCACCACTTCAGCCCTGTTTTAAATTGTAGGCAGGTTACAAATTGGTTAGATTTTCTGTGCGCTAAGCTCGAATTCTGGAAAGTTTGGCTGGTTTACCACGTCTAGGCCCTGTCCGTTTTACACCCACTGTTATCCAAAGCACTGTGGGGGGGGAGGTACGAAGGAAAGGGGAAATTACCTTGGCAAACGTGTGCGCCTGGAGTCGGCCTCCTCCCCTTCTACGTGAATGCTTTGCGGCCAACGCGTGGAGGAAGACGGTGCTGCTTGGGCTGGGCCTTGGGACTGTGTTGAGTTCCTGGTCTTTTTCTCTCGGCCCCCACACCCAAAATGTGTCTGATTCGCCAGATGTGGCTTGGGGGGGCTTTGAGAAGCTTAGCTTCACCTCCTGGTTTTCCCCCCCCTTCCCTCTGGATTAGCACTAAACCTGCCCTTTGGGTCAAATCCTTGTTCGGTTGTTCTGGATTCGGGGGCTGGGTCTCTTGTGTGCCGCTTTGGTTGTTTTCAGGGTGCCCCCATCCCTCCCCCCCCGAGATCCGTGGAATCTGCACCTGATGCGCTCCCGTCTTTTGACATGGTGGGCTTTCAAGTGCACCCAGATTCCTTTGCCTAGGTGGTAGGACGCGGGGTTTGTTTCTAGCGACTCCAGAGCGTGCAGCCCCCTGCCCTGGGACCAGCTGCACAAACTCAAGTCGCCGCTCCTTGCAAATAACGGGTGTGAGATTGGCTGTTTGTGACAATCTTTTCCCCAAAAGGAAAAAAAAACCACTGGCGTGCTTGGTTCAGCCCCAGATTTGGGAGGGACGAACAGTGTATCAGGATTGGCAAATGAAGGTCCCCTTCCTGGCTGGGAGAGATGCTGTGGACTTATTCCCTGCACGCTCTCCGTTTTTTTCTAGCCACAGAAACGAGCTGTGCTTCTCAGGCTAGCGAAAAAACGGAGGCAAGAGGGAAGCCGAGAGGCTCCGAGGCCGGGTTTTCAGTGCAGCGCCCGGGCCGGCTCATCGCCCAACGGCCTTGCCTTGGTGGGACTGCGATTCGGGCGCCGCATCGTCCCAGCCAGAGGTCGGCTCTTCCGTCCATCAGGAACCGTGTGGGGAAGCCCTGCCCCAGTGGAAGCTCAGCAGGACATTGGCTCAAACCTAAACCGGAGGAGCCAAACCTCCTTTCCTTTTTCTTCCCTGCTTCATTTTGAATTCTATTCCACAATAGTGCTTCAGTGCTTAAGTTAACCACCCACCCCATTTTTATATATATTTTAATGAAGAAGAATAAAACAAAGTGGGCAGAGATGTGTGTAGAACAAATAAATTAAGGAGAGATGCTACATAATGTAAAACCGTTGATTAAAAAATTAAGTTTCCATGGCTTTGGTGTGTGTTTCCTTAATGTCAGTTTTTTCTCCGTTCCTCAATCAATCCCTAGGTAACTTGCACACCATCTAAAGTGGTGTTTCTCAACCAGCCAGCACGGGGAATGCTGGGAGTTGATGTCCACTCCTCTTAAATTTGCCAGGGTTGAAAAACACTGATCTAAAGAGATGGCACTGTTGTGCTTTGCCAGCCACACCTCTAAACCACCATTTGGCCACCTTGGACGTTGAAGAACTCCTGAGGATCAGCAGCAAAGCAGGTGTTCCGTCTGGCTGTCTTGTAAAGGTGCTGCTTGCCCCTTTGTGTGCCCTCAGCAGACATGGCTTCCCTGGCTTCAGTTAACGTGGGAAGGTCCACCCGTTCCCTGCAGTTAATAATTAGCCGTCTTTGCTATCTAGGATCAGAACTGCAAGGCCGTGCCAGAGCCCCTACGCCCACTCTGGTGGTCAGACGCCTGAGATGGGCTAAGTGCAAACCCGTCCGCAAGAGGGGAAGTGGGGTTAGCGTGCTGGGCGCTTTACTAATCCACCCCATGCTCCGGTCATTTCTTCTTTCTCCAGCATTGTGGAGGACACCTTCCCTCCTCCCCAACACTTGGAAGCTCCCAGCTTCGATTTCAGCTTGTGTCCTGTGGAAAGGATTTGGTGGTGGGTGATGGAAAGAACTTTAGGTCAGCTGGCTGCAGATGGGAACTGCTTGAATGGCAAAAGTGGGGAATCTGCCCTTCTGAGGGGTATTCCGAGAGTGGGGGCGACTGAGATCCCTCCCAGAATTCAGCTCAGAAGGTTTGGCCGCTGTTTCAAGATCTGCAGAAGTCTTGGAAGTTGGATTTATTGGCCAACCAGCTTCACCTGGAGGGCCGTTCGGAAGAGAGTTGCTGGTGGGCCACAGGCAGAGCTTCTTCCAGCCCACTAACATTTCCCCTGACAGTTCCTCTTGAGGAGCCACAGCACATCTTGCTGGAATTCATTACACTGTTGCCCCAATCCGTGGCTTGAGGAAAGAGATGACTCTCTTATGGACGCTCCACCCGTGTTCCATTGACTTGTTTCCAAAAAGGTGATGGGGGATATTTTTGCAGTTCTCTGGGTACAAAGGCAGCCTAGAATGCACCACTGCTTATGAAAAGTGCATTTTGCCATTTGAGGAAACCAAGGAGGATTTCCAGCTTTCTCTTTGCAAAACAAGTCAGGTGGCGCTCGTTCCCAAGAGCAACACAAAGTTGTCACTGCGCGGGCATCATGAAAATGTGCTCCAGATGGTGGATTTGATATATTTCCCTGGGAAGTTCTCTTGGTGATTTGAAAGGGAAAAGCACTGCCAGGAAGTTCTCTCCATTCTGCTCTTCCTGGGCAAAAGTTCATCAAGATTACAGAGAGCTCCTGCTAACACTTTTGGGGGTCCTTTGTTGACATTTCGCTCCAGAGTATGAGCGTGTATATACATTTACTTCTGTCACAGGGTTTATAAGGTGCTCCAGTTAAACTGACTCTCAGCAGCATACAATTCCTCGATTCTGTAATCGGAGTTAAAAACAGACAAGATGGCTGTAACAGTCATCAAAATCAAAGTAAAAAACATAGGTCACAACTATACATACAGTAGTTGGGCATCTAAATACTGAAAGCTCCCAAGGCTTGACAAAACCAAAATGTCTTCACGGTCTTTCTCAATGTCAGGAGGGAGGGGCCATTCAGACATCTGGGGGACCTTACTCCAGAGGAGAGGACAGCGACGGAAAAGGTTTACTTCTGTGGTCCTTGCCGATTATGGTCCCTGATTGAGAGAACATGGAGAGACCCCCCACCCTCGGTCTTCAGTCTTATCTGGCAGATGGGTGTGCCTGGGAAAAGGCAGTCCCACGGATATCTGGGATTAACGGCTTTCAATGTGTTTTCCAGTCCCTGAAATTGCACCCAGAAGCCAACTGGCAACCAGTGCAGCTCTTGGAGCAAAGGTGTTACATGGACATCTCAGGGCACATCATAACTTCTCAAGCCACCACATTCTGGGCCAGTTGTAGCTTCTGAGGGCCCTTCAAGGATAGCCCCATGTCAAGAGCATTGCAACAGTCCCATTGTGAAGTGGCTATGGCATGAGCAACGGTGAGTAAAGCCTCGCATTCCAGGAAAGGACTTCGTTGGTACACAAGATGGAGCTGAGCAAAAGCTGCCTCCCTCTCATAGGAGTTGTCATCGGCTTTGTTAGCTTCCTGTCACAGCAGGTGGCATTGACTGATTTTGGGAAGCAAAGCAGGGTTGGACCAGGTTAATTCATGGGTGGGAGACCATCAGGCCATCCCAGGGTGGAAAGGTAAACTGGAGGTCAAAATACCATTCTGCAAGAAGGGAAAGGCAGAAGATTTCCGTCGTGTTGTCAAGAAAATTGCATGAAATCTTGAAGTCACCAAGAATCAAAGCTGAGTAGGAGAAAACTATATTTTATTTATTGCTAATTTAAGGACTGCCTAGTACAAAAATGCAAGCTGTTGTTGCTATTGCTGCCACCAGCACAGGAAGGTTGCCAAGGAGAGTGTCACCGAGTAGGCAGTCCTCAAAGTCAAACTTCTCAAAGTCAAACTCCTCCACCCTGGCAGTCCCCCTGTGGCCCGGGAATTCTGGAAGCCACATCCCAGCACAGCTGTTAGGGAAGGTTGCTTGAAGTAACAATAATTCTGCTTGACTTAAAAGTGATGCAAGACTCTCTGCTGTGTCAACCTGGGTGGTAACATTTGGAAGGTATCTTTTACGGGCCATGTGGTGCTGGGTGGAACTCCTTTGAGCCACCTTGGCTGTGGGGATGAAGCCAAAAAAAGGGAGGGGGAAAGAGTGCAACATTATCCTCTTGAAATCTGTTTAGGCGCCATGGGTCAAGTGTGCTTTAGCACTGCTGCTTCATGCAAGCCCTGGTGTCTCCAGCAGAGGGCAACATCTGGCAGCTGTGGCTCCCCTCAACGGGACCGGCAAGAGGTCTCCCAGCGCGGATGTGCAGGAAGCTGAAGCTCTGCTTTTTGTTTTCCTCTGCAAAAGAGTCGTTTTCCAAATGGCACTGGATCAACACACAGGCTGTAGAACTGGAAGCAAAGTTGTTCCTAAGAAAGGGTCACGCTTGCTGGGAAAATATGAGACTTGCAATCCAGTAGGAATAGCTGGCTCCAGGCGAGAAAGGCTACAGCCTGAACTTCTCTGGGAGTTAGTGCAGCTGAACTCAAATTTAAGCATTAAAAATATGCCAGATCTCACAGGGGTTTATCAGTTCTATAAAACCAGCTAGGAGAGGTACAAATATCAAACAGATTGCGTGTAAAAACATAAAATAGAAGTCTGGACTCCTGTAGCAGCTCAGTGACTGAGGCGTGAGTCCGTATCAGAAAGCTGATGGGTCCCTAGAGGCCTTTCAGTCCTACCCCTTCTCTAAGCAGGGGAACCAGAACGGAGGCACCTCTGTCTCCTTTTCCTAGTATTTAGACAACGCCTACCTTGTAACTTAGACTGATTTCACTTCTCTTGCTTCCTTGCACAAATCAGAGAGACGTGTGGGCATGAACCAACCTTAAGTACCATCAAAAGTTCAGTGAAACAGGGCAGCCTCTCCGATGCCCACCAGAAACAGAATGAAGCCTGGGAAAGGGTCAGGAGGCTGTAACTGAAAAGGCCTCGTCTCAAGGACTCACCACTCTTGCGTTTCTCACTGGTGGGACATAGTGGAGTTCTCTGGGCCTGGGGAGATCAATACCAAGGTTATTGATCAGGTTTTGTTCCTGGCAAAGACAGGATACGAGCTTTTTCTGTTGGACAAAGTCCAGTTTGGACACCAAAGTCCAGCTAATTACTGGACTTTGGTGTCCCTGCTGTACTTTGTCCAACAGTTCTCTAAGCGACTCTCCTCACCGAATGTTATGATACTCCATGGGCTATTTGCAGACTAGACTGGCCCTGCTGTGCTTACACACCTCTATTGTTCAGACAAGCCTTGGGCCAGCACACAATGCGTTTTGTCCCATCCCGCCTCTCTTGGCCTCTGGGGACTTCAGCAAGGCACCTCTGCTGTCCAGGTAGCATTCTTGGTGGAAAATTTTCCCAGGGCGCTGCTGGCTGCATGAGGGAATGTCTGACTGATATTCCACAATCTGCATTTGGAGAAAGGAGAGACCATTCCTTACCACGTGTCTCTTTTCATCCCTACGACACCCCAAACTAGCACATGGCTTCAAAATTGGGCCAAATCTTGGCAAATGTAGTAGAGGGCTACACGACTAGACTAGAAGAACACTGGAATGATTGCATGAAACATGTTGAGGATGACATTTCTCAAACAGGTCAGGAGAAACTCTGCATACTCAGGAGGAAAGGTAATGTGTCAGTGTTTTGCAGGAAGGGTGACTGACCTTCTAGGAGAGAGAAAATGCTATAACATGATGCTGCGTTATGGTGCCTGACAGAGAATTGTAATGAAAAATGGATGTGCCTCAGCAGAGAAGCCCTTCTAGTTGTTTTGTGTTGGCGCAATGTGAAAAATTGGACTCGAACCTCTCTGTTACAGACCTCACTGGTAAGTCCTGGAGCATAGGATGCAGCTTCCAAATGCTTGGTGCTGACCTGTGTAAATCGCCGGCATAATGGCTGGGTTTCACATGCCACTTGGCTAATACGTGGTTCGGGGTGTGTACGTAAACCCAGCTGGTATGATTAGTTTCTTATTCAATCTGTTGTGCAATTCCAATCAGCTGATTACTTTAGTTAATTACGGCATGTACATTGCCTGAATGCAACTGTAAAGCCTGTCCCCCCCCCCCTTTATCTATTTAGCCAGTCAAATCGCCTTACCTGCGGTCTGGAGGCACACAGACACGCTAACTGGGTCAAAAGCCACCATCTGGAGAATTCCAAGACCCCACCCACGTTCTCCAGGAAGGACCAAAGATTTCCCCCAACAGAGCATTGCTAGCTTCATCGCATGTCTCGCTCCTTCCCCTGAGACAGGCAGGGAGCCTGGGCTGTGCTTTCCGTGCAGCGAATCAGCACCTGGAAGGTGTCTCCTGTGCTGCCAGGGCTTTATCAGTGAGGTCGATAACGGTGGGGCGGCTGACCGGTACTTAACTTTCGCAGGGAATGGTGCATGGGTAGAACCAAATCTGGTGACCTGGGGCATATTAGCGCCGCATCCTTAACTACTCCTGTCCTACGCTCATGCCAGCTTGACTCTAAAGCAGTTTAAGAACCAGACAGATGTGCCAGCTGCAGCTTGCAAAGCATTCAGTCCAAACTGCAGGCCACCGTGTTCTCTCACTGGACAATTCCCCTGCTACTGTGTCCTCACTCACCACCAGGAAAGCTATTGCCAGTCACCTTGTCTGGGCCCTGTATTGTTCCACATTGTTACTGAGGACTTGGATGACAAAGCTGAGCTACACTTAGGTGGGCAGATGACCCAGAGCCAGGAAAAGTGGCTGATACTTTGGAGAAGAGAGAAGATTCAAAAAGATCTAGACAGTCTAAAATGAACAGGATGGAACTGAACAGGAAAAAATGAAACTTCTGCATCTGGGAAGGAAAAGGGAAAGTCACAAGTACAGGATGGGGGAGGCTTGGCTTGGCAATAATACATGGGAAAGGAGTCTGAGATCTGGATTCCTCACTGAGAAAAGAGTCAGAACCGGTAGCTTAAATGGCTTCTTCCCCCTCTAGGATTCTGGGCCTCCGACTGGGCAGTGAAGCTTGCTAAGGGGGTACGTTTTATCTGGGAAAACAAGCTGATCAAGTTCCACCTCGGGCATTAGAAGACAGAAAAGGTAAATGCTATAGAATGAGTTTTGCAGGCAGTTAGCAGGAACAGGATGTTTTTGGGGGGTGGGGGTGGTTCAGGAGAACCATGTTCCTTGAGGATTAGTGTTGTTTATCCCTACGTTTACTTCCAATTGCTCTCCCCAGAGTTACCACTGAAGCAGTCTTCTGTACTAATCCTTGTCTGGAACGGTGGCATTTTGCACCGGTCAAGGACCCTGAAATGGCTGTGTCTGACCCATCTCCCAAGCAGCCTCCCAGTGCCCTTTGAGGCGTGGCTGAGAGAGCTGGCAGGATAGTGGTGTCAGGGGAAAAACCACGTTAAACACGGGAGGCAGACACACCATAAAACAAGTCACTTCAAAGTTCTAAAAGCTGTATTAAATGTTAGTTCAACAGCAAGTAAAGTTCAACCAATAGCATACAAGGTACTCACTTAGATTCACATTGCAATGTCGTGACCATTCTAATCGAGCCGTCAGGTAAACAGCTTGACCAAAATGGTCCCGACCCCCTCAGATGCAATCCCTTTCATCCTTTAAAACCACAAACCACAGACACGACTCCTAGGTTTAGCAACTGATTCGTAACGTCCTTGGTGCTAATTTTACCGTACCTTCCTGTTCTGTTCCCATCAGCAAGTTGCTTAGTCTTGCATTTGACGTTTCCTGGCGTTGCCCTACAGGTCACAAGAAGCTAACCTGGCCTTATCAAATGCAATCAAAACTAACATTAAAACATATAGAAGGCTACTAAAATTTTCCTCTCACAGTGGCCTCTTATTTCTCCTTATCTTGCACCTGCAAGGATGCAGCATTTGCTGGAGGCACATGCTGGCAAGGGGGAAAAAAGAGGGAAAAAACCTCCTGCAAAAGTGGGTGAACCCAGAACAATGAGTGTGGAGTCATGAGGTCTGGGCGCTTGGTTTAAATAACTGGCACAGCTAAATGTTGGATAGCGGTTTGTTTTTTTCACTTGGCAGGGAGATAAGGCCTCTTATCACATCCAGGTATTGTAGGTAGGTTGGGTGCTCATCCAGGAATGCTCTTATTTTTACTGATCCATTAACAAGTCCAGGCCTTCAGGGTCTGCATCATGATCTAGACATCCTCCTTTCCCTATTTGCTTGATGGGGTTCAGATCAGAGGCCTTCCAGGTATGGGACTGCATATATTCCACATCATCTGAGATGGATTACAAGAGTCACACTCGCCTCTGTGAATGCTCTGGCAGCCAATGACAGGCCAAGAGAAGGGCTATGCACTGGCATTAGATGCTCTGTTGGTGACCTCAGGAGCTTCCTATGGGGTGGGTGAATTGAAATGGACAGGCAGGTCCTCCAGCAGGGCCAGGGAACCTTTTTCCAGGAGACACTCCATGATGGATCTCAGTTTCCATGCCGAAATTGTGGTATTTGACGGCCACTTTGCTGGCGTCAGGGCCAGGATGGCCCACTAGCATCCCTTGTCCTGCTTGAGAACAATGAAGGACGTATGAGGAGGACGAGACTCGGTTGCCTCCCTGAACCTGCTCCGTTGTCTGCACGCTAGGAAGGTGGATTTTCTAAAATATTCAGTGGTAATTATTCCTAGTGAAATATCTTTGTTGGTAGACCTGACGATCCCAACCTGCATAACACAAATTAATGATGATATTAATACTTCACAAGTTAACGATACTTACGAGACTATGGAGAAGAATAAATGTTCTAAAAATGAATATGTATAACTTCGCAATTATTGTAGAGTTTAAGAGGGACGCCTAGGTTAATTCGCCTTAGATATTTTTGATAATTTAATGATTAGATTTGTACAGACTCCAAGGTTCTCTCTCTCAAAGTTGTGGCTCCCGTGTGAATGTGGGGGTTTTAATTTTCCAAATGATTACTGTATCATCGGGCATATTTATTAGCCCTTGTTCTTACTGTTGCTAAAATGATAACATTCTGGCCACAGTTAAGAGTTATCATCTGGCAACTCTGAAATCCTGGGAAATATTTCCGACGCTGGAGGCCATTAGACGCCCTGGGCGTGTTCTTGGGGGAAGAAATTGAAATCCCATCCCCATCCTCATGAGAAATGGACGCGTTGAGGTAACCCTTTTTTTAAAACGGCAGGTAAAGCAACGCAGCGCTTCTGGTTTCACTCAGTCGGTGATCTCAGACCTTCAGAAAGGAAATATGCTTTTTTATGATCTCAGAATAAACGCAGCTGGACCAAGCTTCTGCCTGTCAACGGAACGCGTGAGGGGAAAGGGCCGCCGCGCTCCTCCTGGGTTCCTCTGGGCGGCGGGCCGAGACTGCGGCCAGGACGGGGACCGAGGCTCAGGGCCGCGGGGATGCGGAATGACCGAGGGTCCGGAGGAAGAGCCGCAGCCGAGACCCGGGTCAGAAGCCGGAGTCTGAGGCAGAGACCGCATGCGAGCGAGCCTGAAGGCGGGAGCGGGAAGCGCGTCCAGGCGGCAGCCCGCAATGGAAGCGGCGCAGCGCTGGCGTTCTCCGGTTCCTTGGCCGGGCCTCCTCTGAAGGGCTGACGCGCAGACTAAGGTTTTATTGTGGTTTTGTACTCTTTTACTCTATTTTAACTAATATTTACTTGTTGTTCTTATCGTAAACCGCCCGGAGCCACTTCCTCGTGAGGTGGGCAGTGTCTACGTTTGAAATGCAAACGAATCAATAGAAAATTTCCCTGGGAGCACCTGACTGAGGCCAGGGCCAGGGCCAGGGCCAGGGCCAGGACGGCCTTCTCTGAGGGGAGCACCGCTCCGGGCCAAAGGAGGGCGTCGGGGGTTCCCTTCAGAGAAGGAAAGAGCCCCACTCTGAGAGAAGCGGCCCCGGCCGGCTTTCCCCT